CCTACATAAATCTACAAAAGAAAGAAATATAATGATCATAAAAAATACCCAAAATTCATCCCTTAAATATATAAATAATGAATAAAATAAATAAATAAAGAAAAAAAACAGCAACAGCATCCTCAGCGCCCCCTAGCAGGCAGTAAACGAAAACCGGACAATAAACAAATCTCGTTTTCGGTGCACACAAACCCAGCCTTGTGTGAAGGGGCGGGGACGGAGGCCAGCCGAGAGAAATGAAGGGTGATGAGCGGTTTGACATGTTGGGGGGGGGAAGGGAGAGGGGGGAGGGAGGAGAGAAGAAGGGTGATGAACTATTGCTGTATGTTGTTGGAGACGAGGGGGGGGGCATGCGCATTGGGATATGTGTGTGTGTATGTATGGGCGTATATACATTGTGTTTATTTGTTTGTTTGTTTGATTTGTGTGTGTGAGTGTCTATCTACACACACAACACACACACGTATATTATATATATATATATTATACACACCAACACACACATTCCGTATCCATTATTATATACACACACACACACACACAACATGTATATATTTATACACACCATGTAAACCATCTAGCACAATGCATAGAGTCTACATCATCGCACAACTCGATCACTCGACAGCACACACACATATGTACTTTATATATGAGCGTTGTGATACATATATATATTATTATAAAATCATTTACTTTGAGATCCTCTCCTTATATTATATTGTTATATATATGTATGCTATGTATGTATGTAAATGGTACTGTGATATTTCACTGATTCTTCATCCTTTAGTGAATTCGTGACGTTACTCATATACGTATATAAATATAGTATGTAAACTGGATGTAATGAGTGAATGTGTATCCTCGTCACTTTAATATGCGATTATGATAATACTATACCTAATATGGAGTATTATTAATTTTATCTTAACATAGTTACACCTACAAAATCGATAGTTGACCGTGAGAATTTAACGGCAGTAGATGGCAGTTTGGCCGCGAGACTAACTGTGATCTAATAAAGTCCGTATCCGCGGTCAGGGACTTGATTTTGTCCCTCAAGCAAGAAAGGCTCTCTCTGCCCTTCTTACATATTTTGACAACCAAGCGCATGTCAATGTAGTACAACTGGCTCTCCCTGTCATATAAGGAATGCCCCGTACCTAACGCTAAATTAATTGCTAAAATGTTACCTTCGTGTGGTCATTTACTTCAATTTCGTGACGAGTTAGAGAAAGAAATCTATTTTTTGTGATAAACTTTGCTAGTGTCTTGTGTCCAATTATGTTCTGAATAATATATTTCTGTGTTGTGGTCGTTCTCCCTGTCTAATATATGGTCCATATCAGTAGGCACAACGGCTTGGAACTGACCGGTTTGACATTTAGGCGCTCATGTGATGACCAATTTGAGTCTCTTTTGCCTAAAAGACCTTGGATCTGTTAACACCTTAGATTTATTTCCCCCTCGTTATTTCAACTTTTCATATATTTTCTATCGCCTAACTAACCCAATAATATCTGCAGAATTAAATGTAGTCCACATAAAAAAAACACTAATTAGGAAAGATATAATAAAACATAAAAAAAATAGTAATCCATAGGATATAAATATACGTATATCACAAATATAAGACAACAAGACTTAAATGAGAGATATGAGAAACAGAACATTAGACCATAGAACATACGAAAATAAGACGGCACGATTAAGTGGCTATGAAGTAAAGAAATAATTGGAGGCGGAGAAAAGGAACGAGAGAAAAGATGGACAATGAGGCAGGAAGGAGGGCGGGAAAAGGGCGGAGATAAAGGGCGAGGAAAAGAGGGGGGGGGGCTGGGGAGGATGCAGATTTAAGGATGGATGGAGGTAAAGAAAAAAGACAAGTAGGGGGTAGGAGCAAAGTAAGTGATGGGATGGAGGAGGTGGAAGTGGATGATGGATGATGATGATGATGAGGAGGAAGGAGGAGGAGGAGCGAGAAAAAATAAGATGAAGACGAGTGGGATAAGTTAGGAGGAGGTAGATGAAGACGGAGAGGGGTTGAGCGGACGGCGGAGGAGAAAGAAGAGAAGAGAGAAAAGAGAGATTAGGTAAAAAGAAGGAGAGAAGAGATGGAAGAGTAAAGAGAGAAGAGCAGAAGAGGAAGAAAGAAAGATAGTAAGAGAAGAAGAGAAGAATAGGAAAATAGAGAAAGCGAGGAAGAAGGAGAGAGAAGAGGAGGAAAGAGAAGAGAAGAAAGGCGGGACAGTAGGAGAGATATGAGGGATAGTAATAGGAAGAAAGGAGGTAGAGAGGTATGAGCGGAGAAGAAGTGTGGGGAAGTAGAAGAGAGCGGAATGAGACCTCTGACTGGTATGACGAAGATAAAACAACAGAAGAACTAACGAGCTGAGCGATTGAGAGTGAGAGTGTACGTAGAGATACTGCTGTGATGGCGCTGTACTTGGATGGAGCAAGAGACAGAGACATGCTGACTCGCATGAGTATAGAGGACGAGATGGTGAGACGAGGAGAGAGAGAGAGTATGACGAGAGGATGAGAGAGAGAGAGACAGAAGAGATGATCGTATGACGGAGAAATGTTCTAGCTACTCGCGTAGTGTGTGGTGATACTTAGGACTGTGTCGTGCTCCTACTTCGGTGAGTGAAGCATTACGTGCTGTGACTCGTCCTGTCTGTAGTGCTACAATGTGAGAATGATGTACTACTGGCTGATTAGAGCTGAAAGTATGAGCTTATGTGTGATACTCGTACCTGTGGCGGGAGAGGGTGATACTTGTATTCTGCATCCGGATCATGTCGTGAGAACCATTACCTATGTATGTGGATCACGTTACATAACACTGTTGAGGATGAGATGAGAGATATTCTCGTGGGAGTTACTCTCCTGTTGGCAGTTTGATTGATATATGAGTAGGTGAGTAGGAGATCTCTCCTGTTGCTGGAGACATGTAAGGCTTTGATGTCTCTCCTTTGTCGATGGATTACTGTAGCGGTCTCTGCGCTGCCGATCTGCGACATGTAGTTAGTGTGGTACTCTCCTTCTGGGATCGGGAGAGATGACTGAGTAGGAGTAGTCGATTCCTGTATGGTGGATGTACTTTGTGTCTCTGTTGAGAACGTGTGAGATGTACTTGTGTGCTCTTCTCCTGTTGTGTGCACTGAACATTCGTGCCAGGCTGCTCGCTGGTTTGTGTAAGCGTCGGTGTTGTCCTCCTCTCGGTTGTGGTGTGAGATGTAAACTTGGAGTCATTTTCACTATGTCTCTCCATGTTGCGGCACAGTAACTTGTGTGTCTCTCTGTTGTTACCTTGTGTGTCTCTCCCTGGTATGGGCCGGATGCTCCAGAGAGTTGTGTCATTGACTGCATGATGCGTGTACTTAGGAATGTGTCATGTACCCTGTTGAGGAAGAACGTACTTGTGTGCTCTGACCTGTTGGCGAGTGAAGCGTTGAGTGGATTGTCATCTCCTGTCTGCGATGTACTTGTGTGAGTCTGGAGTTCCTGTTGGGAGTAACTGTGTGTCCTCTGCACTGTTGTGAGAAGAGGACAGAAAGAGAGATGAGAGAAGAGAGAGAGAGAGAGAGAACGAGAGACGGAGCAATGAGGGAAAGAGAGAGAGGAAGAATGGAGAAAGAGAGAGAGAGAGATGAGAAGAGAGGGAGAGAGAGGGAGAGAAGAGGAGAGAGAGAGAGAGAAAGAGAGACGAGAGAGAGAGAGAGAGAGAAGAGAGAGAGAAGAGAGAGGAAGAGAGAAGAGAGAGAGAGAGAGAAAGAAAGAAAGAAAGAAAGAAAGAAAAAAAGAAAGAAAGAAAGAAAGAAAGAGGGAGGGAGGAAAGGAAGCTTAGAAGCTGAAAACCAGTTTATACCTGTGGATGTCCTAAGAAACGCAGAGAAGAGAGAGAGAGAGAGAGAGAGAGAGAGAGAGAGAGAGAGAGAGAGAGAGAGAGAGAGAGAGAGAGAGAGAGAATGAGAAAGAGAGAGAGAGAGAGAGAGAGGAGGAGAGAAGAGAGAGAGAGAGAATGAGAGAGAGAGGAGAGAGAGAGAGAGAGAGAGAGAGAGAGAGAGAGAGAGAGAGAGAGAGAGAGAGAGAGAGAGAGAGAGAAAGCAGTCAAACTTCTCCTTTGAAAAGTTCTATGTAGGCCAACAAGCCTAAAGCATCATACTCAGATCTCAATCATTAAACAGTGGTATTTATCTTGACAAAAAAAAAAAAAAAAAAAAAAAAAAAAAAAAAAAAAAAAAAACTTACATCAGAAAAGAAGAACAAAGCTAATGATAATAATGATGATAATACTAATGAAAATGATAATAATATTGGCAACAATAATTCATAATAATAGAGATAATGACAATGATACAAAAATAACAATAATAATAATAATGGTAATAATGTGTCTACAACAATAATAGTAATAACAAAAGTAATAAAGATAATAATGATAATAATAATGATGATAATAATAACATGAAGAATATGAAGTGGAGGAAGCAGAGTAGAAGTGGAAGATAAAAAAGGGAGAACAAGAACAGACGGAGAATAGAAAAAAAATGAAATCCACTTACTGAAGTGAATGAAATTCAAGATCTCTTCAAGCAGAGATCTCGGAGCGGCATGACTGGTACTACCAATATGGCCCTTATACCCGCTCCCTAAATCTTTTATGATTGCCAAGTACGAAAAAAGAGGCAGCCGATTTTCAGGCATGTGTCGGGAGGTCGGGAACTTCAAAGGAAACTTCCTGCAGCCTCATCCAAGATTAGAATCACAGACCATTTCTAACACGCAAGGGAATCCCAAACGGTACGTCAGTTAACTAGACGTAATCAGGTGAAAGTGGGGAGTGAACTGACGCGTATTGTAGCTGCCTAAGCCTCTTGTGCCCTTTGAGGGATGATGCTAATGGATTTCTATATACTATTTTCTGTGCATTTTTTTTTTCATTTTCCTTTTTTTTTGTAGCTACACAACAGTGACGGAGGAAGGTGACCTACCGTGTGACGCTTGACCCAGACGGGGTGCTGGGATCGGGCCGACATCATGGAGGACTCGGGGCTCCGGAGCTCCGCCAGCCGATTGTCGATGTATTCGGAGGTGCGGCGGGCGGGGGGCGCCTCCGCCTCCGCCACCCGTCGAATGGTGAACTGGTGTCGAGGACGCGCGGTGGAGGGCAGGGAGAGGCGACATGGCCGCCCTCGGTTGAAGTTCTGCTGCTCGGGGGCAGGCCAGGGCTCGCTCATGCCGGAGTCTCGAGAGCTTCCGCTGCTGCAAGAATCCCTTTTCCCGGCGCCGTTGACAGCCCCGCCGCTGCTGCTGTTGCTAACGCTCCCCTGCATGCCCTTGGTAGCCAGGCAGTTGGCGTTGGGGCCGTTGCTGATGTTTCCAGAGCTATTGTTGCTGCTTCCGGCACTGCTGACGCTACCACTCCTCTCCGACTTGGCTGTCTCCTGCGGGGCCACAGACGTCGCGACTTCAGCCTGTGGCTCCGCCGCCGCCGCCTCACTTTTCTGTCCTTGGCTCGGCGTCTCCTTCGCGCCGCCGGAGTCGCCGCCCTTCTCGTCCTCCTCCTCCTCGTCCTCGCCCTCCTCCACGATGGTGTCGTCCATCACATCCAGCTCGTAAAGAGGGTCCTCCTCGCTGTCGTCACCCTCGTCGTCGTCCTCGTCGTCGTGGTCATGGTCGTCCTCGGCCTTGGGTCGGGACTCGAACAGCTTGATGCCGGACTCCTCCACGAAGGCCTCGGCGTGATCCGGCTCGTTGGACGGCGGTTCGGGCTGCCGGTTCAGGGGCCCAATCAAGGTGGACCCGATGCCCATGCGGGTCCGGCGCATGAAGGCCGTGCCCGCCTGGCCGCCGCCACGATCCCCCGCCACCCAGCGTCCGTAGCCGCCCGCGAAGGGACCTCCCGCCACGCTGACCGTAGGCCCAACGACTCCTCCTTGCGGCTGGAGACCGCCTACCCTACCCTGGGCGTGCAGACCGCCCATGGTCCCACCTGGGGCCCCCATGGGCGTCGTGGAGGGGTCGAAACGTGGGCGGACGTGTGTGGGGGTAGTGGGTCCCGTGGACTGGCTGCGGGAATCCATCTCGCTAACTTTGTACAAAATGAATCACAGATGCAACGCCCTCTTTGAACTTATAATTCCTGATTTACGTTACCATTTGGCAGAATTGGGAATGTTTTCCTGATGCTTGGCAGTTGGAATGATGAGTCTATGTGACCATTTTCTCAGGCCATAGAATGCTATAAACACTTTTTGGAAACTGTATCTGCCATGGAAGGTTTTCAAAAGGCACTTATTGTGGTGAAACTGGAAAGGAGAAATAGACACGAGAAATTAAACAACTGTACCATGGTGAGCTTTTGTTTCTTTTCTCACATGAAGGGTTCGAGAGCGCCCTGGGTTGGCGAGATAAAGCGAGGAGACAGGGGGTTCTGTAGACTCTGGTCCCCTCGGAACTCTTCTGATTCCCTTTTATTTCCCTTTCCTCTGACTCTTTCTCTCCTTCTCTCTTTTTCTTTCCTTCTCTCTCTCTCCCCCCCCTCCCTCCTCCCTCTCTCTCTCTCTCTCTCTCTCTCTCTCTCTCTCTCTCTCTCTCTCTCTCTCTCTCTCTCTCTCTCTCTCTTCTTCCCTCTATGATTACAAATAGTCAGCACGCGTGCCTCAAGAATTACCATTACAAGACACATAAAACTAATACCGCTACAACTAACAATAATATGATAAAAACAACACCAACGACAATAAACCACAAGGAAAACGCCACCTCTCTCCACAACGAACATTAACCCGAGAGTCATACAAATGGAAATAACAAAGCGAATACCAAGAACAGCAACGTTCCCTGGCCAGTATCCACTTGCCGTGTTTACGTTCTGAGATGCCATGAGCGCTGCGGATTTTTCGTCTGGGATTTATGGATTGATGTAACGCGGTATCAACATGCAAGCGAAATTGGGGTAACTGACGACACGTATCAACTTCTGCGGTTGCTTGGATTATTTGCACAGTGTACGGCACATTCGTACTTACATAAACAGACATGAACACGTGTGTGTGTGTGTTAGTGTGTGTGTTTGTGTGTGTGTTTGTGTGTGTGTGTTGTGTGTGTTTGTTTGTGTGTGTGTGTGTGTGTGTGTGTGTGTGTGGTGTGTGTGTGTGTGTGTGTGTGTGTGTGTGTGTGTGTGTGTGTGTGTGTGTGTGTGTGTGTGTGTCTTTTGTTCACCATTCATATTTCCTAAGATGTGTTTGAAATCATGTTAAGTGAAGAAAACGTCTTGCGTGACTCTACATACCTATCTCTCTATTTTACTTACACTTCATGATGATTCTCATCCTCTCAAGCCTCCTTCTTTTTTTCTCTTTTCTCACAATCCCCTTTTCATCCAATCCCTCTTCCCCCGCTCTCTCTCCTTCTCTCTCTCTCTCTCTCTCTCTCTCTCTCCTCTCTCTCTCTCTCTCTCCTCTCTCTCTCTCTCTCTCTCTCTCTCTCTCTCTCTCTCTCTCTCCCCATCCCTCTTCCTTATTTCCTTAGCCTAATCTTTCTTCTCTTCTTTCCCTACTTAATTTTCGTTTCTTCTTCCTGTCTCTCCTCCTGTTCTATTTTTTTTCTTTCTCTTCCTACTCATCATCTCCTAGATGCGTGTACATGAGCAGGATTATGCTGGTGCATGTGTGTACGTATTTAGGTGCGTGCGTGCGTGTGCCCACAGACGTACGTGCCTTCTGCTTGTGTAAGTGTTTGCTTGAGTGTATATGTCAGTGTGCGTATGTGTTGGCTGCTTCTGTTCTCTCTCTTCCTCTTCTTTCTCTCTCTTAAATCCCCCTCTCTCCGTTCCTCCCTTCCTCCTTCTCTCTCTCTCTCACTCTCCCTTCCATCCCTCTTCATCCCTCCCTTCTTTCTTTGCCTCCCTGTCTATACTCCCTCCTCTCTCCCGCTCTCTCTTCCCTTCTTCCTCTCCCCAATCTCTCCCTCCTTCCTTTCTTCCTTCTTCCCTCCTTCCTTTTCTCCTCTCTCTTCCTCCTTCCTTCTTCCCTCTCTCCCTCCTTCCTTTTCTCCTTCTCTCTCTCCCTCCCTCTCCCTTCTTCTCTCTCCCTTATCTCCCTCCCGCCTTCCTTTTCTCCTCTCTCTTCCTCCTTCCTTCTTCCCTCTCCCTTCTCTCCCTCCTTCCTTCCCTCCCTCCTTCCTTTTCTCCTTCTCTCACCCTTCTAACCATGCGTGACAAGTCGACGCGTTCGCCAAAATAATCGCAATGATTAGCAGAAGGACAGACGACCCCCTGGTATGACCACTTGTTCCTCCTGAGGCCTAGTCCCGCACGCACATCTCGCCCATCTAATACACCGCCATCACCACCACTCTCTTCTTCATCACCAACCTTCATTATCATAACTACTACCGTCATCTTCACCATCGCTAACATCGCCTTCATCACTACTCATCACCTATAAAACTAGAAGTACTCAGGGAGCATCACCTCCACTCTTTTCTTCATCACCAACCTTCATTACTATAACTACTACCGTCATCTTCACCATCACTAACATCATCACCAACCTTCAACCGTCATCTTCACCATCACTAACAACACCTTCATTACTATAACTATTACTCATCTTCACATCACTAACATCACCTTCACACTACTCATCACCTTTAAAGCTACAAGTACTCAGGGAACGCATACCCCCGCCGAGGCAATAGGGTCACAGATGCAATAGAAATATTCACATTTGAAGAATTATATTAAAATCATTTCTTTCTCAAGTATACTGGTGGCGTCCGTAAACATAATAAAAATTGTTATCACTATGGCCAGTGCAATAGCAGGAACTGATGCAATTATTTATAAAAAATCCTGGATCCGGATCATGATTATTTGCACATCACTACCACATCACCCCCCCACATCATCACCATCACCATCCTCCCCACACCACCACCACCATCTTCATCATCACCCTCCACATCAACCCCCCCCCCCCCCACCACCACCATCTTCATCATCACCCTCCACATCACCCCCCCCCCCCCATCACCACCATTATCCTCTTCCACATCACCACCATTTTACCATCACCCTCTTCCACATCCCCCCCCATCACCACTATCACCATCACCCTCTTCCACATCACCACCCTCCCCCTCTCCCATCACCACCATCTTCACATCACCCTCTTCCACATCACCACCCTCCCCTTCCCTCCCCCATCACCCACCATCTTCCCATCCCCCCCCTCCCCCCATCACCATCTGCAAAAAGGTCAGGGTCGCAAGGATGACGCAATCAGGCCCCTTGTCTTATTATTTGGATCCAAGCAAAGACAAGAAACTCAAGCACGGTTTATTGGAAGCCCGTTTCCCCATGAATTAGAGGAAAGAGTGAGATAAAGGGAGGAGGGGAAGGGAGTTAGATGGAGGGAGCGGAGAGGAGAGGAGGAGGGAGGCAAGTGAGAGAGAGAGGTGGGCCGCAGAGAGGAAGGCTTTGCAACTGGTTTCCAAAACAATTTGTTTCAGAGGTATATGGTGAGGCGGAGGGAGGGAGGACGTGAGGAGGGAGAAGGGAGGGAGGAGAGGGACGGGAGGTGAGGGAGGAGGGTATGTGCGAGGAGTGGAGGAGAGAGGGAGAGAGTAGAGAAAGATGTCGAAGCGTTTTCAACCCAAGAACGTAATCTACAACAAAAAAGAGTGAGAGAGGAGGGAGTGAGAGAGGTCCGGACTCCCACGTACTGCCAAGACCCATTCAACCCATTCCAAGAAGCTCATGACTGCGACCTTCTGAGAAGGAATGGAGCGGAAGCTTCGCAACCAGCGGACATCTGGATACAACGCGACGCAATGGGGCACCACTGTGATACAGCGAGAATGTCAGTGCTAAGGTGAAGTGACGACGGATCAGGCGAGAAGGCGAGAAGAGGATGAAGACAGACATTGAGATAGGAGAGAAAGGAGGAGAAAGTGACGGAGTGAAGATTGAGTGACACCACCAGAGTTAAATAAACAGACCTGATCACGGGAATTTCCTTGAAACAAGTGACGAAGTAGAAGATTGAGAACCCCCGAGTTACACTTGAGAGCGTCATTCGCGCCTAAAGCCCCAGACCCTGAAACAATGGGAGAAGATAGCACTCACCACCTGCTTCGGAAACCTGACGGTTGCCATTCCACGCTCGCAATCCATAATCGGAACGAACACGCCTGAGCAGCGACATCCCCCATGATCAAAGTGAGGTAGTACGGATAGGTAGTGAGCGGAGGGATCCCGGAAAAGGAGAGAGAGGATGGAGATTCATGAGAACGATGAGTGAGCAGCCGCGACCGAGCATATACTAGTCACGAGGCCAAACACTGATTAGACTTTAAACACACCAGAGAGCGGCGAGAGAGTCTGAACAGTCACACGTAGATAGATCGCAGGAGGAATGAGACGGGATGGTATATACTCTACGAGCGGGCGCGACATGGATGGAGCGTCAACGCACGACATAGAGCAGTAAGAAGGGGAGAGAAGGAAGAGAAGGATGTGATCGCGTAGGAGTGAGGAGAGTCGGTCGGAGAGAGGGGGCAACCAGAGGGAAGCCCGTGGCGAGAGAAAGGGGCACGCGAGAGAGCCTGAGAGAGAGACACGAGAGCCGAGTGGGAGAGGTCATAGATGAGAGATCGGAGAAGTGAGAGGGAGAGAGAGGAGATGAGAGGAGACGCGAGGGGAGAGGGGAGGGAAGAGGGGAGGAGGGAGACACGAGAGGGAGAGATGAGAAGACGCCTTGAAGAGGAGAGACGAGAAGAGAAACAAAGATAGACTAGGAGAGTAGAAAAGGAACTAATGCGCATCGTAGCGATAGAGAACGGACAAAACCAGAGAGAAGAGGAAAGAAGATACAGAGGGACGAAGGAGACGTGAGGAGACATTCTCAATGACCGGGACAGGGAGGGGATTGGAGACCGAGCTCGATAGGACCGAAAGCGAGCGGGACGCGACAAATCTCGAGTCTCGAGTACCTGGCCAAGAGAGAGAGGCGTGAGAGATAGGACGGGGGTTGAAGGAGAGAGGGCAGAGAGAGAGGAGGAAAGAGAGAGACGAGAAGCAAGAGGAGTAGGACGAGACGCGAGAGACGAGAGAGAAGAGAGAGCGGCTTGGAGAACGATGAGAGAGAGAGAGAGAGAGAGAGAGAAGGGGAGAGACGAGAGAGAATAGTGGGGGTGGATTGGGCTCTGGTGTATATGAAATATGGACTCTCTCTCTACCGCTCTCTCATCTCCCTCTCTCTCTCCTCTCTCTCTCCCTCTTCTATCTTTATATTTAATATATATATATATATATATATATATTA